ATTTCTGTATGGCTCTCAATCCTGGGCTGGTTCCTTCTCCTCCATCTTGGCCGGCTCCTTTCCGCGCAGGTAGGGTGTAATAGAAGGGCCTTAAGACGTAGGACAAGGTTGAGGTATATTGCAATACTTCAACTACAGAATCAGGTGCTTTCAGGAATCGCACTATTGAGCACATTAGGGTGTGGTGCTTAGGTTTGGGGTGGTTTAGAATTTAGAGTGTCGGGTGCCGTGCTCTGCGGATCTTGGCTTCCAACGAGAGAAGTTCTCGACCCCAAGTTCGGGATTTAGCCTTCGGGGCTTGGCATCGGGTTTCTGTGGGGTTCACGGTGGCCCTTTGTTGGTTTAGGGCTTTGGAATATGAGGCTAGGTCGGGACATGTTCTCTGAAGCTGGATTCTTACGAACGTGACCACGCGTTTTGGAATTTTCTCATTGCCCAGGACTCAAAGGCACCTCGACACAGCCCCAACGTTCGAGCTGCCCGGGCTTGGGGGTTTCTATCATGTTATAATGTTAGATCATCATAGTGTGGAACCTTGAGAAAGAGCAGTTAGCACATCTGTTTCGGCCTTCACAGCAGGGTTTTGGCGGATTCGGACAGCCGGTAGCAATAGCTTCAGCACCAGACTCCACAAAAAAACAAACATCCCACTGCTCGGACCCCTGGTGCTCCGCCAGGTGCGTGCAAACACCATAACATGAATAGCTTCTTGCTTGTTGTTGCTATGATTGCTGTGCGTGGTGTAAGCAGAAGGCGCCCTGCACGATTGGAAGGGCTTCGAGAGCGCATGTACCCAAAAGCTCGCAAGAGCACAGACACGAACCGGCACACCACCTAACATGCTATCCCAGGCCGTTCTGAGCTGTGAGGGTACCAGCATCTCGTATCCACATTGCACTGTTGCTAAATCAATCGCCTCACTGGAACAGAGAACCCAAACGCTACAAGGCCCGCACCCTAAGTGACTACAACTCCTAAGCTTTAGACCTAAAGCACGAATCCCCAAAGGCCCTAAAATTCACACCGTGGACCAACTAGAACCCCTAAACAAACCCTAAATGCCAGCGATCGCTTACTATTATTACTGTTATTACTACGATGGCAGTCGCACAGGTCCCTGCTCTTACTCCCGGGGCGAGAATCTAGAGTTAACAACACAAACATAATAGCCTATGATAGCTCTGGTTATCATACGTAAGAACCTAAGGAAAGCCCAAGAACTACAACGCCGAACCCGAGGTATTTTGAGTTTACTCTCAGGGTGTTTCTCTGTTCTAGGGTGAGATTTAGATTTAGGGCTTTCGGCTCGGGTTTGGGATTCAAAGCGCTGAGCTGGAATAGCCGGCCTCCGGTGGCGCCGTGGTCACCTGCAGCTTGGGCTTCACTAGAGACGGGGGCCTTCAGAAATAGAAGAGGCTTTTGAGGTAGATTTTTTATGTATGGGAGGATATAAACGGATAGTATTACTAAATATACGCCAAAAGGCAACCCGGACTTTAAGAACAAAGCACTTCAGAACCCAGAAAGAATTGTCATCCTTGTTGTTGGATTGCTGGTCGGACCAGTATGCACCGTAAGGTGCTGTTACAATACGCATCAATCAACTGTGTTGCGCTGTCTGTCAGAACCTCGAGAATGAGCAATCGCATTACTAGCCGTAGCAAGGGGTAGGCTCGCTTCGGGAAACTTTCCACCGCCACTTTCGTGTGTTAGACGATCCTCATTCACCATGACTTCGAAGCATCGAACTGCTGTACACGACTAGCATCAGGTGTCTGCTGCAGTTCTTTGTCATGCAGGCAACTTACATGCTGAGAGAATCTACATGCATCAAGAACATAACTTGGGTGCTCCAAGTGGGATATTGCAGTCGCCTTACAACCGCCATGCTGTGACGTTGTTTGTTTGAAAGCTCGGCAAGGTCATCCAACCAGGCTTGATTAGACCATAGCTTGCAACAGACATAACGATACCGGTGCTCGCAAATGCCGGGAAAAGCTGAACTTTGTGCGCATGGTTCAAGCGTTTGTGGACGCTCCATATACCGAGAGCGCTTTGGCACAGCAAGTAATTATACGCCGCTAGATGACCGTGATGCAGGATATAACCCTAGACACCAAACCCTAAACGCCGAGCCATGCGACCCTAAACACAATCCCTAGATCCTGTAACACCCTAAGACCACACGACCCTGAACGCCTCAAAGTGTGCTTTTTGTACGGGGCTTCCGCCCGGATCTTGGGAGCTCGGTTCGAGGCTTTCAAAGGCTTTTTAATACCTGCTCCGTGCAGGTTTTTTTTGGGGGACCGAGCTGCTATTGGGCTTGGGGGCTGTCGGGGTTTTGTGCCTGGGGCTTTGCAGGCTTGGGCTGAGAGCTTCAAGCTATCTTGGCAGGGTTCGCTTGGCTGGGAAGGTTCGCTGCCAGACGTTCGGCTTAGGGTCTTTATAGGGTACAGGTTTTCATAGCATCCTCCAGCATCCTATATTCCCTACAAGAATTCGCTTTCCCAAGACCTGGGGTCTAGGGGGTTCACTGTTGTGGCAGGCAAGCAAGTACCCACATTCTGTACAGCTTCAACTTCAACGATTCTCAGGCCTCTGATTTCCCATTCGCGCCATTGCTGACTTCGGCGGTTACCTTCGAGCGAAGAAACTTTGCAGATGGGTTTCGTGTCTCACAACGGAGACCCAGGTCTTCACAGAGAATCCCAATCCCAATACTCTGATCTTGTTAAGGAAGGTTATCTATTACTATAGCAAAAAAAGGTTTCCTTATTGGGGTATCTTAAATTTAATCAAATTCTCTAACAAGAACCCGGTAGAATACCAATACACGCTGCAGCCACAAACAAGCACCCACCTTCGGATTGCCATTCTTCAGCGGCTCGGCCTAGCAACAGGAACACGACACCCTGTGCAGACCTAGAGTCTCTACGGAACCGTAGCCCGTAGAAAGGAGGCTTCACAAAAGTTCTGTGGCAGGTTCAGATACGCTGTCTAGGATCATCAATTGCAGCCCATGTCTTGAGTCCCCAACTGCATGCCCTCAGCCATAATTAAAACCCCTGAAACCCAAGCCATTGAACCCGAATTCCCAGATCCCAAATGGGTAGTTTTCTAAATTGGGGTCCCTTGTTGGGTCACCGATATAGTACGGCACCCTCATGAAAGGACCCTAAAAGGGACCCCACTTTAAAGAACTACCCAAATGGGCCCTCGAAGCATCCTCTATGACAGCCTGGATAGCCGTCAAGAAGGACCGCAAAACCCCCATAGAAGGCTACTTCGGTGGTCCTGCAAAACCCCCAAATCCTGAAACCCTAGCCTTAACCTGCCCAAACCTACTTTTTGGGTCGCGATAAATCCATAATAGGGTTTCTAATTTCTAACAAGAACCTACAGAAAAGCAGGTTATGGCAGCTTAAGGTAGCCTAAACCGTGGCCCTAAACCGCGAACTCACATTAATTGATGGTTTCGGAAGAAGCTGCAGCCGAAGAACTCGGAAATCAGTTCCCGTCTCGATGTTGGGATTGCGTGGGAATGGTCCATATAAAGTTCATAGAGTCTGTTATAGATGTGCACGCCGGAAAGCATGGAACTAGAGGTGACACCAGACGCATTTCTGCCGCTGGGCGCGGCCTTAACACAGGGATAGGGCTTCGGTCTTAAAAGGTTAGGGTTCAGGGTTCAGGGCCTTTAGACACGGCATGGTTTCCCTCAGATCCCTGAGTTTTTGAAGCCTAGTTACCCTCAGTCTCGAGGCCTCCACTTTGGAACATCTCCTCAACCGCAGATCCTCATCTCTAAACCTCTGCTAGAATTTGCGGCACCTCTCTTGTCTCTCTAGTGCCTACGTTTGATCTTGTTTCTCCTCGGCCAGGTACTGTAGGGGCCTTAATCATTAGAACAGGGTTTTGGGGGTTCCTTATTATAATTATAGTCGAATATACCCAAACCCTGTTCTAATTATTAAGGCCCCTATATTACTGTAATGTGGGTTGGTGCACACTTCGGAGTGATCTTAGCAGCAAGCCTGGAGTGTTGGGGGTGGAGGGACCGGGTCCCCATCCCTTTTCGGTGACATGCACGGTTGAATACTCTTTTTGGTGTAGGTGCCTTCGAAGGGGTCTAAACCCGACACCTCCCGAGAAGTTGCACGCCGCCTCCTTTGTGGACTTCTCTGCCTTCGGCTTCTCAATGGTTTGGACGGCCTGCAACATAGCTCCCCTACGGTTGCCACCGTACTAAAAAGGCTTCACCCGAAACCTATGTTCGGAGCGGGGGAGGGGGAGTTTAAGGTGTAGGGTTGACGTAAAGCTATGGGGGAATGATAGTACTCCAAACCATTGCATTATCTCGATAAACACCATATTTTTTGTCTGAAAACCACCTCTAATTATCAATGCCCCTGGGAAATAACAGTAGTAAAACGAATAATAATGTCTCCTTCTATAGTCTTAGTCCCAAAAATGAATAGTACAATCTACCCCAAGAACTTAAGAACCCTACTAGTTCAGACTCGCATAAACCGTGAACTCGATGGCTCTATGCCGGAAGTACTCAAAACCTGAATCAGCTTCCGAGGTGATCTCATCTCTCGCTCGAGCAGGCATGGACGCGCCGGATACTGCCCGTCCGTGCAGAAAGAGATCAAAAGATGCACCAGAACTCTAACAAACAGTCTCCCAGCTAGGAAAGAAGCAACAGCACTTCCTAACTAAGAAGGAATTGTTACCGACACGCATGGGTTGCACATAAACCGCAGTATTTCGACGTTCTCTGGGTGTCGCAGAGCCTGTAATCTGCCATTGCAGAAAGTAGCTCCATGCAACGAATTAGAATGTATGGTAATTAGGACCACTGGCTTCATGCAATGAGTCATTATCCTAAGCACGTCTGACCCGGGGATACTGTTTCAAAAGTCCGAGACCAGTCATCGTCCGCACATTGGCCTAGAAGCCCAGTTGCGGATTGTATTCACATTTGCTTAAACGTCGTCTCAGGCTTGTCCGCACAACTGCTTAAACTCCTCGAAAGACAATCCAGCCTTTCCATCCGACTGATATTGCTGCATCAGCTCGTCAAGTTGGTGGGGAAAAATGAAGACCCCATTCATCATGAGACACAGCTGGAGCTCTTGGATGTCAATCGTACCGTTCTGGTTCACATCCTCATGTCATCGCCCTACGTCCTGCCTGTAGCATCTTGCAACCCGAAACTCACCTTTCGCCCTTCCCCGCGCTTGAAGGCCCCTGTGCAAGCATTGGCACGTTTTGGACACCTACACAGACACACACTGCACACGCGCGCGCACGCACACAGACACACACACACACACACACCCGCACACACACACACACAAAAACCAACACACAGACAGGGTCTTTTTTGTAGGGTTTTAGATGGAGAGTTATAGGGGCTTGGGATTGTTTTTGTGGGGGTTTGTCCGGGGCCGAAAAAGCCCAAGCCGCAGGCGGGCCCAGTGGTGAGCACAAGATTCCGATTTAAGACAGGAACTGAGGGTTTAGAGGGCTTACAGGGTTTATAGGGTTCAAGGTTTATAGGATTTATAGGTTTAGGGTTTAATTATAGGGTTTGTAGGTTTAGGGTTGAGGGTTTAGGGTCCCAGATTACACAACCGCACCACAGGAACTTCGGAGCTGAAGCGATGCCCAGGCTCATACTTGTCGAAGACCCGCTTGGCTTCCTTGTCAACATCAAACTCATCCTCGGGATCGAAATCATCCTCTGCCATCTCGGGGAGGTCTTCCTCAAAGTCGACGACCTCCTTGCAGCTACGTCGCGGCAATCAAGTCGTTCAGGTGTCCGGGTCGGGTTTAAGGTTTAGGATTGAGGTGTCGGGTTTCGGCTTTTGGTCTGGGGTTTGGGGCCGATTGTTGAGCTTGCGGGCTACCTATGGCTGGGGATCGGGGTGTGCAGTGGGGTTTGACTGCTCCAGGACCTCAGCATCCAGCTCCCTAAACCCTAAACCCTACTATAAACCCTAAACCCTATAAACCCTAAGCCCTAAACCCAGCTGATTCTCCCGGATGCTCCTTGCGGGGTCTTTGGATAACGTTCCTGTGTGAGGACCTCTTGACGGCTACTGCCGCTCTTAATTACGCACAGCCACTTCGCAAGCTGGCTTATGTTCGTCTTTCCCCCCCCCATTCAAGAGAAAGTCATACATAAATGGAGACTTTCAGGGCTGTTTTTTATCATAAAGTTCTAACTTGAATCTTTTCTTCAGTCACTGAAAGACGCAACGGCATACCGCAAAACTTGCGTTTTTACATTTCGAGGCCCTGTAGACAGCAAGCCCCATAAAGATACTTAATCCCAACAAAGCCAACAGAACGACCTTCAGTTCGAGTCTCCGGCTGGCCCGCACCATCCGGCTCTTTGGAATATCCAAAATCATTGCCGTCATCCTCGGCGGGTGTGAAGTCCGTGTCTGTCAAGCCTGTGATGCAAAACCTCGGATCAACGCTTTGGGGTTTAGGGTTTAGGGTTAATAAGGGTTGAGCATGGCGCATTGAGGATTAGACTGGCATTTGGGTGCAATTTCAGGGGAGGTTATGACTAATGATCCAAGAATCCAACACCGTCTATGAGGCGCAGGAGTAACGGGCTTAGGTTCTGGTGTCATATAGTGCTCCTCAGCTTGTTTTTCTAACTTCGCTGCAGCCGACAAGCCAATGAGCCGAAAAGCCATGCAAAGCGCTATTACTTACTACTCCTGAAGGGTTTAGGGTTCGAGTTTAGGCTGGAGGCTCCACCGATACAAGCAGCGGTTTATCGGCTGATTGGTTTATTGGGTGGCTGATCGGCTTCTGGGATTCTGGGACTATCGGCTGCCAAAAGCAGGCACACTGGTGCTTTGGATTCCAAGGTTTTCGGATCTCCAGCCAAGGAAGACAGCGATATGCAGTCTTCTAGGGGCTGGGATCGCTAGCAACAGCCTCCCCAGAAAGTTCGGACAACGGTAATCCGATCCCCAAAACCCCATTCGGGTCATTAGGGTTCTAAAGGTTCTGGACCACCTTTGCGCACCCGGACATCACAGCCTTCCTGAATGCAAGACGAGTGTCTGGTCTAAAAAATTGAACTCCCCGTTGGCAATGTAGTCATATGGTACATATGCATATCCACGATCACCCCAAGATGTTCCCCAGCTGTTTCGCACGATGAACACCTCGACGTGTTGGAAATCGGGGCATTGATTTGGTTGGTCTTCTTTGTCCATCACAAACTAACAGCACGGAATGTCTCAAAAGATCTACCAAAACCCGGGGCCACCTGCTGGCGATCATTGTAACCTACCAAGAGCATGGCATGCAGACCATGCTCTGCAGACTGTGGGTCGCTGGCGTCCGGTGTTGGGATGAACCCTCCCGGCAGAGGACGGAAGAATTGCGCAGTGAGCTTCAGCCCAAAGACAATGGGATGCCCGGAAGAAAGAGCCTCGCGCATGCAATCCAGGTCCACAGGAACCTCAGTTAGTCGATTCAAGAACGGCATAGTCTGTCGCTGAAGGGAAAAATAAGAACAACCCTGCAGGCCCTAATACTAAAGTATACTTCAGTTTACAGCTTACTTTACTATACCATACGATACTATACTATAATCTACTATACGAATACAAGACTGGAGTCCTTCTGAGAGCTTGCGATCTTGTATCGCAACGCCTGATCAAAGCACGCCTGCTCTGGCTTGTGATTCACCTTGTCCAGGTCAAAGGGCCAGTTCCTGGAGGGTTTAAAACATACTGGGGGCGATCCCGATTTCGGGACCACATGCCACAAGGAAAGCTCCTTCTGGAAGTCGTGCGGCTTTCACGGTTTTGCAGGGCTTTAGGGCTTGGCCAGTAACCTTTCATCCTCGCCCCGAAGCATGGCCTCCCGAATCCCTTGTAGAGCTTTGCTTAAGCCGTGAGCTCCGGATGTTTGCAGTTTCTGTGAAGGCCCAGCTGAAGTTGCGATAGTTTTTGTGTGGCACGGTGGCACGGCGATAAGGACAGGACCACATGGCGGAGAGGTTCGTCTCTCTAAAGGCTTGACCGACGGATCGTTTGGCCTCAAGCTGTTGGGGAATTGCCATGTTCAAGCATTTGTTTGGCTTCAAGCTATTGGAAGAATTGGGCTTTACAGGGGCTCTCTTTGCGTCAAGCTAGTGTGGAGTTGCAATTCGCAAGGCTTCGTTTTGCGTCTAGTTACGGGGAATTCTGATTTGTACGGCAAACAGCAAGCTATTGGTGACTTACGATGTCCGAAATCCTGTTTGGCCCAAAGCTCTGTCTAGGGCAATTGGACTGTCAGGGATTGCACTTGCGTCAAGCTATTTCGGAATTGCAATTCGCAGACATCGTTTTGCGTCAAATTATTGGGAAATTCTGATTCGTAAGGTGGTGTTAGGCAGCAAGCAGCTATGGCTGATTAGCGATTTCCGACGTCCTGCTGGGCCTCAAGCTATAAGGGAATTGGCCTTTACAGGGGTTCCTCTTGCAGGGGAATTGCAGATTGCAAGGCTTCGTTTTGCATCAAATAATCGAAGAACTCTGATTCGTAGGGTGCTGTTTGGCAGCAAGTTATTGGTGACTTCCGATTTCCGGGTCTTGTTTGGCATCAAGCTACCGAGAGGAATTGGCCTTTAGACCACTTCATTTTGCATCAAACTATGAAGAATTGCAATCAATTTGCAAGGCTCCGTTTTGCATCGAGCTAATAGGGAGTTGTGGCTCGTAGAGTGTTTTTCTTTCTTTCTATCTGTCGGTGGTTCTTTCTTTCTGTGTCTTTCTTTCGTTGTCTCTGTCTTTCTGTAATTTGTTGTTTTCGTTATCTCTTTCTTTGTTTCTTCTCCCTTTCTCTCTCTCTCTCTCTCTCTCTCTCTGTCTCTCTCTCTGTCAACAGCCACTGGGCCAAGCCCATAAACACATAGGCCTACATAAACATACAGACTCACAGACAGGTAAGTTTATTAATAGGTAGACAGATAGGCACGTAGGTAGGTAGGCAGATACCGACAGAAAAAACAAATAGATAGCTAGAAAGAAAGATAGAT